TGAACTGCAGGTCTTCAGGTAAGCCTGTGCAGCCGCGGTCCATTTAATGCGGTCCGCACAGGGGGTCTCAGAGGGGTATAAATAAACAGGATTTTCAGTCATTTTTCATTTTTCTAACTCTAAAAACATAAGAGGCAATTTTTCAAACAACCCTTCTTCTCCAAAACGTTGGTAAGTGATTTCTAACTTATTTTCTTCACTCCTTAACATCTTTTGACATGATTTCAACTTTCAAGCAAAGATTTTCATGGGGGAATTTGGGTGTTTTTGGTAGAACCTAGGTTTTTCAAAAAAATTGGGGATTTGGACCTCAATTTGAGGTCCGATTTCAAAACAAATTATATATTTGAGTTCGTGGGGAAATGGGTAATCGGGTTTTGGTTCGAGCCTCGGGTTTTGACCACGTGGGCCCGGGGGCGCTTTTGATTTTTTGGGTGAAATTTTCGAAAAAAACTCATTTTCATGCATTGGGGTTGATTCATTTAGCACTTATTGATGTAATTAAGTAATTTGTGATTAGATACGAGCGAATTGGCGGTGGAATCAAGGGGTAAAGCTATAATTGAGGCTTGAGTTGTGTTCAAGGCATCGAGGTAAGTGTTTGGTCTAACCTTAGCTTGAGGGACTAGGAGTTGAGTCCTATTTGCTATGTGGTATGAGTCGTGTACGACGTATAGGCATGGTGACGAGTATCTATACGTTGGTGTTTAGCATGACCGTGAGCCCTCATATTGTGAATATCTTGATTTCATTGTATTCTTCATGCTTTGGTGATGATTTCTAGTTGTTGTAAAAAGTTTGTGGAAGGAATTGAGACCTTTGAACATNTCGAATTGCGTGAGCTGTCCGGGCGCGTAGCCGGAAAGCTTAAATGAGAAATTCTGTGAAAAATGCTAAGTTTTGATTTTAAAATGAATAAATTTGACCTTGGTCAACGTTTTGGGTAAACGGATCCGGACCCGTGATTTAACGGTCCCGGAGGGTCTGTAGGAAAATATGGGACATGGGCTTATGCCCGGAATCGAATTCCGAGGTCCCAAGCCCGAGAAATTGAATATTTTTGTAAAATTATTGTCTAAAAATGTTTAAGGAAATTTGAAATGAAAATTGGTTAGAACGTGTTGGTAGCGGGCCCGTATTTTGGTTCCGGCGCCCGGTACAGGTCTTATATATGTTTTAAGTCCTTCCTGTGAAATTTGGTTGAAAACGGACGTCGTTTGACGTGATTCGGACCTAAATTGGAAAATTTGATGTTTTATGAATTTTGGAAGAATTCATGGATTTTGAGGTTTAATTCGATGTTTATGATGTTATTTTGTCGATTTGATCGCACGAATAAGTTCGTAGAATATTTTTGAGGTTGCGTGTATACTTGGGTTGGAGTTCCGAGGGCTCGGGTGAGGTTCGAGTAGGTTCCGGGATGCCTTAGGCTTAGAAAATCAGATGTTGCAGGTTCAGGAGTTGCAGGTCTCTGAACCCTCTAATGCGGTCCGCGAGAAATTGCGTGCGACCGCGGAGGGGCTAGCGCGGCCGCGGTCGCCTTTGTGCGGGGCGCGGTGGAGGTTTTGCGGCCGCAGTCGGCTTTGTGCGGTCCGCACAGGGTACTGAACTGCAGGTCTTCAGGTAAGCCTATGCGGCCGCGGTCCATTTAACGCGGTCCGCACAGGGGGTCTCAAAGGGGTATAAATAAACGGGATTTTCAGTCATTTTTCATTTTTCAAAACCCTAAAAACATAAGAGGCGATTTTTCAAATAACCTTTCTTCTCCAAAACGTTGGTAAGTGATTTCTAACTTAATTTCTTCACTCTTTAACATCTTTTAACATGATTTCAACTTAAAATCAAAGATTTTCATGGGGGAAATTGGGTGTTTTGGGTAGAACCTAGGTTTTTCAAAAATTGGGGATTTGGACCTCAATTTGAGGTCCGATTTCAAAACAAATTATATATTTGAGTTCGTGGGGGAATGGGTAATCGGGTTTTGGTTCGAACCTCGGATTTTGACCACGTGGGCTCGGGGGCGCTATTTGGCTTTTTGGGTAAAATTTTGGAAAACTCACTTTCATGCATTGGGGTTGATTCATTTAGCGTTTATTGATGTAATTAAGTAATTTGTGATTAGATACGAGCGAATTGGCGGTGGAATCAAGGGGTAAAGCTATAATTGAGACTTTAGTTGTGTTCAAGGCATCGAGGTAAGTGTTTGGTCTAACCTTAGCTTGAGGGACTAGGAATTGAGTCCTATTTGCTATGTGGTATGAGTCGTGTACGACGTATAGGAATGGTGACGAGTATCTATACGTTGGTATCTAGCAAGACCGTGAGTCCTTATATTGTGAATATCTTGATTTCATTGTATTCTTCATGTTTTGGTGATGATTTCTAGTTGTTGTGAAAAATTTGTGGAAGGAATTGAGACCTTTGAACATCATGGAGCATTGGCTCGAGTTATATTATGAATTGTGAAAGAATATGAGATGATTGAACCTTTTGGAGCATTGGCTCAAGTGGTAAAGTGATCTATGAATTAAAAGTGAAAGCAAAAGAGAAAGAGTTATTAAATTGTTCTCTTGCCGGGATATTTGTTGCTTTATGAATTATCTCCCTTGCCGGGATGTTGAGATTGTTAATGTTATACCCTTGCCGGTATTTAATTGGTTAATTGTGTTCCCTTGCCGGGATTTCTATTATTGTTTTGCTTATTCCCTTGCCCCTTGTTTGTGATTGTTGTTTGGGTGAGGAAGAGTGTTAAAGCACGAAGGGTGATGCCGTGCATTGTTGCTATTGTGAGGAAAGAGTGTAAAGCACGAAGGGTGATGCCGTGCCGCACGATGTACCATTCCGTGCCAATTCTATTGATTATATGTGAGGAAAGAGAGTAAAAGCACGAAGGGTAATGCCGTGCACATTTTATTATTCTAATTGCTTTGGTGAGGAAAGAGAGTAAAAGCACGAAGGGTGATGTCGTGCACGTTTTCATTATATTATTGCTTGGTGAGGACGAGAGTAAAAGCACGAAGGGTGATGCCGTGCACTTATTTGATTTCTGCTTCTTGTTGACATTGTAGTTATGTCGATCCTTTCCTTACTTGATGTTTTATTCGGAGTTGTTAACTTTCCCCACAGCATGCTCCCCCTCCCATATCGGTTGGTTATCTCTGTATCTCTGTTCCGCTGTATATATATATTTAACTGCACAGGTTTATATGGTAGTCTGGTCTAGCCTCGTCACTACTTCGTCGAGGTTAGGCTAGGCACTTACCAGCACATGGGGTCGGTTGTGCTGATACTACACTCTGTGCTCTTTTGCACAGATCCAGGTCCCGGAGTAGCATTTGGTCATCAGCAGTAGATTGGGAGCTATCCTTCAGTCCGAGACTCCGAGGTAGCCCTGCTGGCGTTCGCAGGCCCGGCGTCTCTTCTATCAGTTTTAATGTTCTGTTGTCATTTGTACTCGAGACAGACTATGTTCCCTTCTTTCAAACACTTATTTATAGTAATCCTAGACAGTCCGTGGATGTTGTGACACCAGGTTCTGGTTAGAGGCATGTGTTGGTCTTCAGGATATTTTGGTTTTATATTTTAGTTAAGACTTCCGCTAAATTTCTTATTCCGCTGTTATTTAATTGTTTATTTCGGTTAATTTAATTGGTTAAAAAGGAATTAAAAACAAAAAGAGTAATGATTTCTAAGATCGTGGCTTGCCTAGCTTCTACGAGTAGGCGCCATCACGACTCCCGAGGGTGGAAAATCCGGGTCGTGACAGAGATGGCAACTTTGACACTTACTAATGGTCCAATAATACTATTATAAATGCGATGACTCACGGATTTATTAAGGACAACAGTAGATTCAAATAAGTTACCAAATGGGTAAAAGTTCCTTTTTATTAAAAGTCTCCGTATTCATAATCCATTAATTAACAGTTATCACAAGCCGGGAAGAAGCAATATCAACTTCAATAATTTCAAGGCAAGCAATACAAGCATGCGCAAATCATGCCGAGGACGTACGACCCCATCCTACAATATTTAAATTGTGCACTGCCAGAGGGTCGAATGGCGCGAACCATAGATACATCTATTTAATCTACCGAGGCGTTCGGCCCGTTCCACAATATATAAACACATTCAAACGGTCAGTTAAGAACTCATCAGGGGGCAATTTGTCCAAGGAAAAACCAATTCTCTTTAACAATTCAAGAAAATGAAGGTAAATCATTTTAGAAATTTAATTACTAATTCGATGTGATTTAAGCAAATTCGAACTATCAATAAGATTACAAACATTCCAAGTATAATATGCTTTCGGGTCCTAGACTACCCGGACTTAAACATAATAGTAGCTACGCACGGACTCTCGTCACCTCGTGCATACGTAGCCCCCACAAATAGGAGCACATAACCAATTAACTCACCTATGGGGACAATACCCTCTTACAAGGTTAGAAAGGAGACTCACCTCGCTCCGAAGATCCATAACCGGCATTCCACGCCCTTCCGAATACTTGAATCGATGCTAAATACTCCCAAAACTAGCCAATGATTATGCAAATTCATTAATATACGATAAACTACTCATATTAATCCAATTTATAACAATTCCTAACCCCGATTGGAAAGTTGACAAAAACGCCCTCGGGCCCACGTGCCCGGATTCCGAAATTTTTTGAAGATTAAGCTTACCCATGACTCCATGAACTCAAATATATGATTTTCTCTTAATTTCATACCCAAATCGTGGTCAAATTCCAAGAATATCAATTTTCTAGGTTTCCCCTCAAACCCCAAGTTTTCTACAAATTTCCTTGTCCAAAGCCGTATATAATCATGTATTTAACTCAAAACTAACACAAATTACTTACCTCATGCTTGGTGGTGAAAATGGCACCTCAAAGTTGCTCCAAATCGGCTCCAATGGAAGAAAATGAGGTTAAAATGAACCCAATCCCCGATTTAAAAGAACCTCACTGCCTCCAGCATTTCCGCATCTGCGGTCAGGGGACTACATCTGCGAGGAGACGATCGCATCTACGAAATGGGGAGAGAAGGCCGGGACCGCTTCTGCGGTCTGGAGCCGCATTTGCGGAGCCGCATCTGCGGCTTGGGAGCCGCTTCTGCGTTCCTGGCCTGGCCTGCCTGGGCCACTTCTGCGATACGAGGACCACATCTGCGGTCTCACACCTGCGGTCCACCAACCGCAGGTGCGGTTATGACAGAAGCAGCAAACTTCAGCCCTTCTCAAACAAATCCATTTTCGATCCGCTAACAACCCGGAATCCACTCGAGGCCCCCGGGACCCCAACCAATCATACCAACCAGTCCCAAAACACATTATGGACTTGCTCGAGGCCTCAAATCATATCGCGATCTCCAATCCAAGCTTTATGAACTTTAGAATTTCAAACTTCTACTTTCGATGTTTAAACCTATCAAATCACGTCCGATTGACTTCAAATTTTGCACACAAGTCATATTCGACATTACGAGCCTACTCCAACTTTAGGAATTGGATTCCGACCCCGATATCAAAAGGTCCACTTCCGGTCAAACTTCTCAAAAGCTTTCAAATTTCTATCTTTAGCCAAATGACTCCAAAATGACCCACAGACCTCCGAATTCACTTCCTATCGCGCTCCCAACTCCTGAATCACCATACGGAGCTGCTCCCTGGCTCGAAATCCCAAACGGACATCGATAACACTGAAATGTACTTCAACCCAACTTATAAAATTTTCTCCAAAATGCTAACTTCCACAATATGCGCCAAAACGCTCCCGGGTCATCCAAAAGCCGACCCGGATATACGCCCGAGTCGGAAATCATCATAAACCTGCTGGAACCTTCGAATCCTGATTCCGAGGTCGTTTACTCAAAAATCCAATCTTAGCTAATTCTTTCAACTTAAAGCTTCTGAAATGAGACTTTCCTCTCCAAGTCGACTCCGAACTTTCCGAAATTTAATTTCGACCACGCGTACAAGTCATAATACCTGAATTGAAGCTGCTTATGGCCTCGAACTGCTAAACGGTGCGCTAGGGCTCAAAACGACCGGTCGGGTCGTTACAAGGAGTAAGATCTGCGTACACTCTACCCTACCCAGACCCTAGTTTGTTGTTGGTGGTGACTATATGTGGCAGTGGAAGCATAGAATTTACAAGAAAAAAGCATTTTCATTTTTGAAAAGAAGGTTAACTTCACTAGTTTTCAAGTATAGGATCAAAGCCATTAAGTTTTTTCCTTAATCAATACATGGGGCGCAGCTTAAACATGTTGAAAATTCTTGTGTTTTTAATGAAGTATTGTTAAGTGCAGTAATAGGTAAACAAAATTCTTCAGCTGGTAATGGATAATGGTATTGTCCAAGTGATATTATCGGTACCAGATGGCATTGTAACTGGAATCAAATACAATGGTGTTGACAATTTGCTTGAGATTCTAAATGATGATGAAACAAACAGAGGGTAATTCTATCTGCCATTTCTTTCGTCAAATGCTTCTGATATTTTTCTCTTTAAGAAAAACAAGAAGAAGAGGTCTGCTATAAATATATAACTTCTCTCTTTCATCATGAAAATGGATTAACTAAGTTTCCCTTGCAAAAGGAATTAATTGAATGTGACACTTGGTAAATGTTTCGTCTAGATACTGGGATGTTGTCTGGAGTTGGGCTGGGACTAAAGGAACTACTGGAATTGTTGGTTCTTGATAAAAGAAATTAAGGGAAATAACTGGGAAGATGACAAGAAAATAAAAAAATATACTGGAATAGATGTAAAAGGAACTGAAGCTGAAAATACTATATTATTTTACTGCATTTTGGACTACAATTTATAAGAGAAATACTAATTTAAAAGACCTAAAAATCTGCTGAAAATAACTAACTCCTAGAGACTAGTTCACTCCTAAAGACTAGTTCAAAATTATTTCAAATCCAAACTAAATTACTGCAGTAAATAGCTGAAACAGTAAAATAATTTTACTGAGAGCAGCTTCTAAAGCATATTTCTAACAGGAATATTTGAAAGGTATATATACCCTACCCCAAGCCACTGACCATAGGGTTCCCAAAAAACAAAAACTGTTAGTAAAACCAAAATTGTTTTGAGCAATAAGATTGTTTCACCAATATAATGTAGGCTCATATGCACAACCTATAAGGTCATATTGGAAACAGATGATCAAATCCTTCTCAAGGAATTGGGATGTGTCACTTCAGGACAAGCTTATTCCCCTGAACATAGACAAAAGGTTTTGTTTTGCTTTTCTCTCCCTTTGTTAGATTTTTGTTGGTATTTTTTGAACCTAGAAAAGCGAAAAGACATTATACATGATGACTAACCAGAAGTATGAATGTTCAGGTTTATAATGCTTAAAGGTTCCTCAGGTTTCTATTCTGATGCAATTTATGAGCATTTAGAGGGATGGCCTGCTTTCAACCTTGATGAGACTAGGATCGCATTCAAGCTCAGAAAAGACAAGTAATACTCATTTTCTCTTCATCCAATCTGTTAACTTTTTCTTACTGGCATATCTTTTTAAGTTCTCATATTTACATAATGAAATGTATAATATTAGTGATTAATGTTTGTATATATCAAAGACACGATGTCATCTCTTATGTATGAAGGATGTTTTATTGTTTAATTAATCTTGAACATCAACCAGGTTACATTACATGGCAATCGCAGATAACAGGCAGAGATACATGACCTTACCTGATGACAGGTTACCAGATAGAGGACAACCACTTGTTTATCCAGAAGCAGTCCTACTTGTCAATCCCGTGGAGCCTGAGTTCAAAGGCGAGGTACATAATTTCTTCTACCATTTGCTGATGTATAATATAATCAAGTACTCCATTAAATGTATGTTCTCTTTAACAACTTAAGGTTTTAGATAGGATAGTTACACACATATCTGCATCTCTATTTATCCATTTACATAATGTGTCAGTAATGTTACTTCTGTTAACTGGCTGTTGATTCTTGATTGATCAATCCTATCAGGTCGATGACAAGTATCAATACTCATGTGAGGACAAAGATCTCAAGGTTCATGGATGGATTTGTATGGATCCACCACTGGGGTTCTGGACAATTATTCCCAGTGACGAATTTCGATCCGGGGGACCCCTTAAACAAAACCTCATTTCTCATGTTGGTCCAACTACTCTTTCTGTGAGTAGTAATCTGCAGCCATGGAAGAAAGTCTTTGGACCAGTTTTTATATATCTTAATTCTGTCACTGTAGGGGAGGATCCCCTTACTCTCTGGAAGGATGCCAAAGAACAGGTATAATCAAGATAGTTCTATGTACTTGTCACGACTCGGAATTCCCGCCCTCGGGACCGTGATGACGCCCAACGTCACACTTGCTAGGCAAGCCAACGTTAGAGTGTTATTAACCAATTTTCTTTATATTTAATGATTACGAGTAAACAAACTTAAACAAGTAGAAATAATTGCGGAAGGAAGTAATGAGTCTCATTATATATATATATATATATATATATATATATATATATATATATATATATATATATATATATATATATATATACACACACACTACCAATATTATAGCTATTATTACCCAGAATCCGGTGTCACGACTCACGAACAAACCAGAATTTTCTACAAACATTGGTCTGAAGGAAATTACAACTATTTTGAAAAGAAAGAAAACAAAAATGTAGAAATATAAAAGGGGACACCAGTTCCTGCAGACGCCTGCAAGACTACGTTGGGTCTCCAAACTTAGTAACCTGAAGCCAATTTCTCAATCAGCCACTGCCTGCTCCGTAATCTGCACTGAAAGTGCAGAGTGCAGTATCAGTACAACCGACCCCATGTATTGGTAAGTGCCGAGCCTAATCTCGACGAGGTAGTAACGAGGCTACGGCAGGGCAATTACAATATAACCTGTATACAGTATGAAATAAAGCGGAAAGAAGTACGGAACAAAATGAAACAGTATTTGGAAGGAAGGAATACAGATCTCAAGTATCTCATCAGTACCCAGCTATAACCAATCCTTAAGTGAAACGCAAACTACAGAATAACTTGCACAGTAGAAGAAAGATACATAAACACATAAACTGATGCGGCGCGCATCCCAATCCCGCCATATAATCAATATCAATATGAACATTCACCCTTATTACTCCATATCAATCCGCCCTTATTCCTCCTGTTGCGGCGTGCAACCCGATCCCACCGTACAATAGTAATTCACCCTTATTTCTCTTCAATATACCACCCTTATTACTCCTGTTGCGGCGCATAACTCGATCCCACCATATAATAACATTTCACCCTTATTCCTCCTCAATACATCACCCTTATTCCTCCTGTTGCGGCATGCAACCCGATCCCACCATATCAATACCAATCACACAATAAGAACAAGAATGTCACAATTTAACTCAAACTCCCCACTATATTTAAACCTCAAACTAAAGCAACGGAAAGCTGTACAATTATGAAACTTCACTCAAATTATACTACTCAGCAAAATCAACCCAAAATATACCATAAAACACCGATAACCGAATTGAGCCAATAATATGAGACAATGAAAATATGAAATAGCTAATTCCTTCAACAATGACAAACAATGTCTAACAAGTAGCAATGAAGCATGGAAATACTAGTGAAGCATGTAGCAGTTAAGACAAGGAACAATATATTATGAACGGGAAGGAAACGGGCAAAACGGATAAATTGGTGGCGTATAGGTACTCATCACCTCACCTATACGCCACACACATGGATTTCACATAGCAATTAAGTCGGGGATCCCTAATCCCTCGAGTCAAAGTTAGACACAACACTTACCTCAAGCCCACGGCCAACTCAAAGCTCAGTCACCGTGTTTCCTCCAGTTTCCACCTCTGACACTCGTATCTAGTCATAATTAACTTAACAGCATCAATTATCGCTAAAGAAATCAATTCCAATACATAATTATAAGTTTCCCAACATTTCCCCCAAAAAGTCAAAAATCGTTCTCGGGCCTGCTTGGTCAAAACCCGAAATTACCCGATTACTCATTCACCCCCGAGCCTGGATTTACAATTGGTTTTGGAATCCGACCTCAATTTGAGGTCTACATCCCCAAATTTGGAAATCCCTAATTTCTACCCGAAAATCCCCAATTCCACCATGAAAACCCTAGATTCTAGGATAAAATCTTGTAAAAAGAGGTAAAAGATTGAAAGAAACTAGTTAAGAATCACTTACTTATGATTTGGGAAGAAAAGATCTTTGGAAAATCGCCTCTTGTGTTCTAGGTTTTGAAAAATTGGAGAATGAATGAAAAATTCCGTCTAAGTTTGACTTATCAGCTGCAAATGTCGCATTTGCGACCTGAGCTTCACATTTGGGAAACTCGCAAATGCGAGTAAAGTATCGCAAATGCGAACTCGTCGCATTCCTGCACCCTTCGCAAATGCAAACTTTGACTTCCGCAAATGCGGACCTATTCTTCGCAAATGCGAAACTACCCAGTCTCCTCCCATGCTCGCAAATGCGAACTTTCTTCGCAAATGTGAGGCTCGCGTTTGCGAGCCAGACCTCGCAAATGCGATATCTGCAGACCTTAAGCATACCAGCTACGTTTTCTAAGTCCAAATCACTCTGTAGCCTATTCGAAACTCACGGGAGCCCTCGGGGCTCCAAACCGAACATGCACACAAGTCATAAAACATCATACAAACTTGCTCGTGCGATCAAATTCCCCAAATAGCATCTAGAACTATGAATTTAGCACCAAATCACATGAAATTCTTAAGAACATTTTGAAATTCCTCTTTTCTCAACCGGATGCCCGAATCACGTCAAATCAACTCCGATTTTTACCAAATTTCACAGACATGACTTAAATATTATTTTAAACTTGTACCGGGCTCCGGAACCAAAATACGGACCTGATACCAACAAGATCAAACATTAATCAAATTATTTAAATCATTAGATTTTCAGACTTACAATAACAAAAATTCATTACTCGGGCTAGGGACCTACGAATCTGATTCCGGGCATACGCCCAGGTCCCATATTTCAATACGGATCCACTGGGACTGTTAAAGTACGAGTCCGGGTCCGTTTACCCAAAACGTTAACCGAAGTCAACTAAATTCACTTTTAAATGCAATTTTTTTTATTAACTTTCAACATAAAAGCTTTTCGGAAACACGTTCGGACTGCGCACGAAAATCGAGGAGGAATAAAATCCTTTTCAAGTTTGAATTTTTTTATTTGGAATCTAGGTTCTTCTACTTCATATTTATTTAATATGAATATTTTCCCTCTTTTTTTATATCATTCCTTAAGAATGAGGTTTTGAAGGCTTCGAAACACGGAATCGAGCTCTAAAACATAAGATGACCTTTTGGGTCATCACATTCTCCACCTCTAGAACAACCGTTCGTCCTTGAACGGACATAGAAAAGTACCTGGGCTAGGAAAAAGGTGGGGATATCTACTCTGCATGTCAGACTCGGACTCCCAGGTAGCTGCCTCAACAGGCTGACCTCTCCACTTCACTCGAACCAAAGGATAACTATGCGATCTCAATTGATGAACCTGCCAGTCTAGAATAGTTATCTGCTCCTTCTCGTAGGTCAAATCCTTGTCCAACTAGATAGTGCTGAAATCTAACATGTGGGATGGATCTGCGTGATACTTTCGAAGCAGACACATAAAATAGTGGATGCACCGCTGATAAGCCTGGTGGCAACGCAAGTAGTAAGCCACCTCTCCCACTCGATCAAGAATCTGAAAAGGCCCGATAAACCTAGGGATTAACTCGCGCTTCTTCCCAAACCTTATTACACCCTTCATGGGCGACACCCGAAGCAACACTCTCTCTCCGACCATGAATGCAATATCACGAACCTTACGACAGGCATAACTCTTCTGCTTGGACTGAGCTGTACGAAGTCTATCCTGAATGATCTTAACCTTATCCAAGGCATCCTGTACCAATCTGTACCTAATAACCGAGCCTTCCCCGCTCGAACCACCCAATCGGCGATCGACACCGTCTACCATATAATGCCTCATAGGGAGCCATCTGGATGCTCGATTGATAGCTTTTGTTGTAGGCAAACTCCGCTAACGGCAAGAACTAATCCCAAGAACCTCTAAAGTCAATAACATAGGCGCGGAGCATATCCTCCAAGATCTGAATGGTACGCTCGGACTGTCCGTCCGTCTGAGAATGAAATGTTGTGCTCAACTCGACCCGCGTACCAACTCACGCTGTATTGCCCACCAGAAGTGCGAAGTAAAATACATACCTCGATCAGAAATGATAGACACGGGCATACCGTGAAAATAAACGATTTCACGGATATAAATCTCTGCCAACCGCTCCGAAGAATAGGAAACTGCCACAGGAATGAAATGCGCTGACTTGGTCAGTCTATCCACAATAACCCAAACTGCATCGAACTTCCTTTGAGTCCGTGGGAGACCAACAACGAAATCCATAGTGATATGCTCTCACTTCCACTCAGGAATCTCTATCTTCTGAAGCAAACCACCAGGTCTCTGATGCTCGTACTTTACTTGTTGACAATTTAGACACCGAGCTACATATGCAATAATATCCTTCTTCATCCTCCTCCACCAATAATGTTACCACAAGTCCTGATACATCTTGGCGGTTCCCGGATGAATAGAATACCGGGAACTGTGAGCTCCTCTAGAATCACCTCACAAATTCCATCAACATTAGGCACACAAACACGACCATGCATCCTCAAAACTCCACCATCTCCAACCGTAACCTGCTTGGCATCACCATGCCGCACCGTGTCCTTAAGGACGAGAAAATGAGGGTCATCATACTGCCGATCTCTGATAGGCTCAAATAAGGAAAACCGAGCAATGTGCAAGCTAAAAGACGACTGGGCTCCGAAATATCCAACCTCACGAACTGATTGTCCAAAGCCTGAACATCTAATGCAAGCGGTCTCTCACCAACCGGAATATATGCAAGACTACCTATACTAGCTGACTTCCTACTCAAAGCATTGACTATCACACCTTCTTTTTTCCCGAGGGGGAATAAAAAATTTTCCAATTTAAGTGACATTAATCGAAATGTGATTACTTATTTGTTTAGAGTCGCCACTTGGAATAATTATTGGTTTCCCAATTCACGGGTTTATTTTAAATCCCAGATCGAGGAAATTTGACTCTGTTTTAAAGTCTGCGAAACTAGAAGACCGGGTAAGAAATTCCGTTAAGCATGGAGACGGTTTTAGGCACTCCTGAGTTCTATGATTTTAGCACGGTCGCTCAACTATTAATAATTGGCCCAATTATCTGATTTATTACATGTTTTAAACCTATTGTGCATTTTCACTTTATAACCGCTTTTATTTATTTATGGAGTTATTTCTGGAACAAGTCACGATTGTCGTACACTTATTTGTTTTTGTACACATTGCAAATCGTATCACGGGGACCGTACCCACATGTGTATTTTTATTATTGTTCGAAGTTGTGGTCAGGTCACATGAAATGTGCACCCGAATTTGGGATTAAGTATCGTGACCATGCCACGGGAACCATACCCATGGCCACGATGATTTTATTAATTGCGCCTAAAGCAAACTACGATGTTCATAATTCTTGCTACATTCGGGATTCAGTGTGAAGCCAACAGATTAGGGAGGTGTATTGGGAGGGTGTAGGATTCAATACTAAAGGTTATTAAACTTATTTAAAGTAGAATAACTATAGCTAGACCCAACTAAGCTTAGTAGAATTCATTCTGTTATCATCCCAGACGAAGAAAGCAAATTCCCTTATCGAAACAATTTCACCAAGAATTAATCCCAAATCCAATTATCATTGTTTTAAAGTGAAAAGCATATGACCCATTAATACTAAAGAATGAAATAACGTTACAATGAAAATGACTATGTAAGAACGGCAAAATGCAGATAGAGTGACACTGAATAAGAGGAACAACAATAAGAACCAACAAGATAAAACACTGAGATTTGGAAATCTCAAAGTCAAAAATAGAATATAGAGAAATCGGACCTTTATTGTCGGAGGTGCAATACAACAAAACTAATGGCCATGGATCTTTCTCCAAAACTCGACCGGACAGCCTCGCCGACAAACTCAAAGAACGGCAACCGGACTCAACAGAAAGATTCACTTGATTTATTCCATTTTGGTTAGGATCTGCTGGATTTTCGGTTGAAAATGGAGCTGTTCTTGCTCAATGAGTAGGTCTCTTTTCAATTACGCCGATGGTGTATGAACATGAACAGGGACTTGAGCTCGACCGGAAAATTGAACGGAGCCTTCGAACGCGACTCGAATCGACCTCAACTTCAAATTTCGAAAATGAAAACTGGATGGAGGAATTTAAAGTGCATATGTTCGGATTTATCTTTAGAAACTCAAACATAAACTAGCTTAACAACAGAATCCTCCTCTTTCTTTTTCATCCATTATCTATATAATCTCAAGGAAACAGTGGAAAAATTTGAGGAAGAAAACTCCAAATCCGAGAAGAAATTTGTTTAGGGGTCAACGGCTGTCTCTCAAGTGAAAGAGAGAGTGAAGTCTCTCCTCAGATGTGGTAGGTGGCTCATTTTTCCTTAGAGATGAAGATAGTGTCGTTCTCTTTGTTGGGGTCAGGGAAAGTGTTTTGCTAGGTTGGAGTAATTGGGTGTTAACTCCAAGTCCGCCGTTCTTCTTCAAGGGGGTAATTCCAAATTAGGTCCTCACCTAATGTGTGTATTAGGGTTGTTTTAGGGAGTGAGGAGGGGATGAGCTTGGGTTGGTGAAAGAAGATTGGGCTATTGTGGAATTGTTTTGGCTCAGTTTCGATTTTGAGGTCAATTAATTAATTTTTAACCTAAAATGTAAAACAAACTAAAGTATTTTTGTATTTTAATGTAAACTACATGTTAATAAAGCAAGTAAAAATCTAAGGATGCAAAAAGCAAAAGAAAAATATTTTTTTTATCATTTTTGTGATTTGAAATGCTTCTAAAACATGTTGAAAGTGCAAATGAATGCAAAACAAATAGAAATAAAAATTTCTAAATTCTACAGAAGTCACTAAAACTATTTTTGAATATTTTAGGAGTAATTTCCTATGTAGGGAAAAAATTAGGTGCTCACAGCTGCCCCTCTTTGCTGGGAAACATGAAGAGTTTTCGGGCAAAGATAAAGTGAGCAATATGAACAATTTTTGCTCGTTTGATACTCCATGAGAAGTATTTTGAAAAAATTTGACCGAACATTGCTTTGGAGGTTGCCTACATATCCTTGACTATAAAAGAATCAGGTCTGTGTAGTTTTGGGAGAAATGTGGAATGATGAGTTTGAGATTCGAGTGAGGTTCTGTCGAGGCTCCGATCCGCAGTCCTGTTATTACATCAAAATCAAAATGAAAAAGACTAACTTAACCTATCAGCTATGAGTTACAAGATTCCTATCTATAAGTCTTCCGAAGCTTGATCTTGAGTCTTGAATGATTCTTCATGAAGACTTTTGATTTGAACCTTGATGCTTGCTAGCTGCAGGTGTTGGTTCAATCTTCTTCAGCTCTTCCAGATCAAGACGGGACATGTAGAGCTTGTGACTTCAATTATGTCTTGAGCAATCCACCTCTTTTCTCCGCTTCAGCACTTTGGATTCACTTTTTTTTTCTTTCTTTTATTCTTGATTGAGACTTCTTTTTGGTCTTCTCGAACCCTTGTCAACCCGTATTCTTGAGGCGAGCTTCTGCTTCTTCTAACTTGAATTGACAACACGACTGGAGGTTGCCCCTATTCTTCAAGAGGGATCCTGCTGTCTCTGACTGGAACTTGAAATGAATTCCCTCATTCTCCAGGTGGGCACCTGCTACTGACTTGAAACTTCAAATGGCTCTGAAATGAATTCTAAAATGAGTTCCCTCGTTCTCCAGGTGGGCGCCTGATACTACAGCAAAACAGACAAAACAAAGAAACTTTTCTGCCCCAGTTTGCACTAGGAGGATTTGTGAGTTATTAGCAGAACTATAAATCACCTATTCTATTGATAAAGGATGCAACGATGAGAGTAAAACTAAAGACTCAACTAGGATGTGTGTCTCCTATGAGTAAAACCAAGAAAATTTCGACTTGCAAATGCATCTACTAAAAAAAACCTAAATGATCCAGACTAGGAAGTGCATCTCCTAGATTTATGATTAAGCTTGTGGAAAAATATAAACTAAGCTTGACTAAAGTAAAAACTGACCATATTCTCCAGGCGGGACCCCTGATTTCAAGAAAACTAAAGATAAATAACTTAAGAAAACTAAAAATTGACCCTTTGTTTTCAAATCTAGACTTCCCTTTTTTTTATTTCTAAAAAAATCATTATCCTAGGAGAAAATTCATCAGACTAGGTTTTAATCTTAGGAGAAAGGTTCATCAGACTACGATTTTTATTTTAGGAGAAAGTTCATTGGACTAGGTCTCCTTTTTTTAGGTATCTTAGGAGAAAGATTCATCAGACTAAGATTTCTATCCTAGGAGAAAGTTCATCAAACTAGGTCTTCTATCTTAGGAGAAAATTCATCAGACTAAGATGTTTATCCTAGGAGAAAGATTCATCAGACTAGTTTTTTATTTTATTATTATCTTAGGAGAAAGTTCATCAGACTAAGATTTTGATCCTAGGAGAAAGTTCATCAGACTAGGTCCCCCCCCCCGTTTTTTTTTAATATTTTAGGAGAAAGATTCATCAGACTAAGATTTCTATCCTAGGAGAAAATTCATCAGACTAGGTCCTCTTTTTTGTTATCTTAGGAGAAAGATTCATCAGACTAAGATTTCTATCCTAGAAGAAAGTGCATCAGACTAGGTTGTCTATCTTAGGAGAAAAATTCATCAGACTAAGATTTTGATCCTAGGAGAAAGTTCATCAGACTAGGTCCTCTGTTTTGTTATTTTAGGAGAAAGATTCATCAGACTAATTTATATTGGGAGGAAAATCCATCAGACTAGGACTTTTTATCCTAGAAGGAAAAATGTGAAGATCAATGACAAGATTTTATGCACAATAGCAAGACGAATAAAGGCAAAGATTTGAGAAACTTCTCTTTGTCGGCTCTTTTTATCTCTCTCTTTTTTTGTTTTCTTTTTCTCGCTCTTTCTGAACCACTATCCTTGCACCGTGTTGTTCCTGTTTCAAACAAAGAAAATTTTGTCAGTTTTGAAAGTGGTGGTCGGTTTGTGGCCTTAAGTCTTGAGCATCTTGGCTTTGTGCTCAATCAGCTTGAGTCAGTCTCAAGAGACTTTTTGTGACGACCCAACACGTCGTCACGTGGGTTACTACCCCGTTTCCCCCATTTTCTATTTCTTTATGCTTCATTATCAATGTTGGGTGTGAACGAGTTGATTTGGATTGGTTTTAGAAGGAAATGAGAACTTAGTCTCTTTAAGGAAGGCTTGTTTTGGAAAAGTCAACCGGACGTTGACCTATGTACTAGAGGGCTCGGATATGAATTCCGATGATTCGGTTAGCTTCGGGGGATGATTTGTGACTTAGGAGTGTGATCGGAAGTAATTTTGGAGGTCCGGTGTAGAATTAGGCTTGAATTGGCGAAGTTAGTATTTTGGAGAATTCCAGTTGATAGGTGAGATTTTGATCCGAGGGTCGGAATGGAATTTCGAGAGTTGTTGTAGCTTCGTTATGTGATTTGGGATGTGTGTGCAAAATTTCAGGTCATTCGGAGGTCATTTGGTTAGGTTTTGATCGAATGCGTATTTCGGAAGTTCTTAAAGAACTTAGGCTTGAATTCGATGAGAAATGATGGTTTTAGTGTTGTTTGAGGTGTTTTTATGATTGGAACAAGTTTGAATGATGTTATAGGAGGTGTTGGTGCTTTTGGTTGAGGTCCCGGGGGCCTCGGGGTAATTTCGGATGGTTGGCGGGGAGTTTTGGTTTGAGAACTTAAGAAGATTGCAACTGCTTCTGGTATTTTTGCTTCGCCGCAGAAGCGGTACCGCAGAAGCGAGATGTTAGCCGCAAAAGCGGCAGGGATCGCAAAAGCAGATAGGCTGACCACATGTGCGGAGTCGCAGATGCGACAAAACGACCGCAGATGCGGAGATTGGAGATCTTAAAGGAATCCGCAAATGCGAAGCTTGATCCGCAGAAGCGGTCTTGTCACCGCAGAAGCGGTTTATTCCGCAGAAGCGGCACTTAACCGCAAAAACGGAAGTCGCGGATGCGGCTAAGGAGCCGCAGATGCGGAAATAACTGGTCGTTGATGTTTTATTTCTCCTTCGCGAAATTTCGAAGGGTTTCATAATTTTCACTTCGGACTTGGAGAATTTGGGCGAGTTGGAAGAGAGAAATCAAGGGACTTCTTTGAGGTAAGGATTTCTGAGTCTAAAACACAATTTTATGGTGTAGATACATAGATTAGAGCGGAAAACTCAAGGAATTAATAGACAAAAATGGTGATTAGGGCTTGAAACTTAAGAGAACTAAAATGGGGACTTGAGGGGTCATTTGGACTCCGATTTTGGTGTCTTTTATATGTATAGACTCGTGGCGAGATGAGGAATCCGTTGATGGTAAAAATTTTGATTTTCGAGAAGTGGGCCCAGGGCTCGGGTTTCGCTAATTTCGAGATTTCCGCTATTTTTCGATTATTTTCAATTGAGAATTGTCCCATTGGCATATTGTGACGTATTCGTTGTGGTTTTGATCAGATTTGGTGCACGAGGAGGTCAATTCGAAAGTCAAGGGCATAGCGAGCTAGGATTTTGGCCGGCTTGAGGTGAGTAATAGATGTAAATGCTGTTCTGAGGGTTTGAAACCTCGTGTTTGCACATCGTAGTGCTATATTGAGGTGACTTGCACGCCGGGTAGCGAGCATGGGGTAGAGCACCGTTGGGGATTGTGACTTGGTCCGTCCCGGTAGATGAATATACTGCGTATTTGACTGAAATTCACTTATTATTATTTTAATTGAGCTGATTGCTATATTTGGGCTTCGTGCCAATTGATTAAATCCTTCAGGGATTGTTGTTACTGGTTTCTTACCATTTCTACATATCATTGAACTCAGTCCTAGAATTTAATATTGTTTTGCGAACTCAGCCACTTTTCTCAAACTAGAAACTTAACTAATATTTTTAAATGAAGTTTGGGTTGAATGTTTCTATATTAATGTGCCCGAGAGGCTTATGTGATTTTGGACTGAGTATGGGATCGGGCTGCGCGCCGCAGCGGTATGAAGTTGATATTGATATGAGGCCGAGGGCCTAGTTGGTGCCACGATATGGTTTATTATTTCGCTTGGGCCGTAAGGGGCCCCTCCCGGAGTCTATACACCCCCAGTGAGCGTCGTCGACGATAAATAAATGGAGCGGGCTGCACACCGCAGCGGGTACTGGAGAGTACCGGTCTATGTGTTGCATTGCATATTCTTAATTGTCATTTATCCCTTTATCTACTGTGATATTTCTATAATTGTTTTTCACTGTTTTACTGATTTTTATGCTACCGGGTTCAAGTTGCTGTATTATAGAATTACTTTGTGCCTATTCAGGATTTCTTATTCTCAGCCTTTATTTATGTTTATTACTCACTGGGTCGGAGTACTCACATTACTCCCGGCACCTTGCGTGCAGATCTAGGTACTACTGAGGCTGAGTGAGGACTTCTCTGCCTAGCATCACATCTGGGAGTTTCAAGGTAGCTGCA